GATGGAAGGCCGGGAGATTCGTCACGAAATGCGAGAAAATGGCGGGAATTCCAGAGACGAGCTCGGTGTGAATGAGCCCGATTCCAGGGACCCGAACGATGCCGAGGTTCGAGCCCAGGCCCAATAGCCAGTTGATAGAGACCTTGTTCTGGACGTCGAACTCGTACTTCTTGAGTGTACCGTAGTGCCACACGTACATAACGACGAGGAAAACGAGCGAGAGGGCGACCGGGACCCATGCGCCCTCTAGGAACTTTATGAGTGAGGCCGAGAAGTAAAGGGCCTCGACCGAGCCGAAGAAGAATATGAAGGCGAGGGCGAAAAGGACATTTCGGTTCCAGCACAAGACGATGACGAGTGACATGAGGCACGTCGTGACCAACATAACGGTTATAACGGCAAGACCTGCATAATTCTTCGGCAGATAAGTATAATAACTTTTTATTTTATTTTATGTATCTTTTTTTTTCGAAATTTCGAAAGACACCCATTTTATTTTTACCCGATGCATTGCTAATGTGTTTTGTGTCTCTAAATCCAACAGTGACAGCCAAACAGAGGAGCATCAAAGTCCAGTTAATTTCGGGAATGTAAATTTGCCCGCATATTTTAGACGACGTGTGTATAATTTTGACTCGAGGGAAGCAGCCCAACGCAGAACATTGCTTGATTATGGAAAAAGTCCCCGTAATAATGGCTTGGCTTCCCGCAACGGCAGCAAGTATAGCAATTGCAAGAACAGGCCATCTTAGTTTTTCTGCAGTGAGTCGAAAGAAAAATGAACTTTAATAAGAACAAAAAAAATTGTTAATATGTTTGAAGGAATCTTAACATATTTTTTCTATACCTGGTACCGATACATAAAATCCAATATGATAATCGCTCTCCATTACGTGGTGTTTGGATAAATAAGCAGCTTGCCCCATGTAAGCAAGGATTAAGGAGGGATAAACCACAAAACTAAAGGCCATCTGCATTGTTAGGAGGAGCACAATTCATCAACTAATTCTACCAATCAAGAAACTCAGGTTGTGTTTGGTAAGCAATATAAACTAGCTTATAAGCTTCATGTATTCAAATAAGCTTTGTTTGGTAGGATATCTCATAAGCAAGTTTCTTCCTTGGGTAGCTTTTCAAATAAGCTCATTGAAATTTTTATTTCAGCGAATTTTACCACACTTTTATCATAAAAGCTATAGCAGCCATACGTCATAAGTTATCATCATTAAGCTCGAAATTCACTTTAAAGCCAGCTATAAGTTAGCTTATCAGCTAGGTTTACCAAACATGGCCTAAATAGAATTTCAAGAACGAAAAATCTTGTGGGTTGAAACCAATAACAGTCACTCAGAAAATTTGAAGTAAAAACATTACCTGAATGGACAATTGAGAGAAATGCCCAAGATCAGCAAACATGGCTTCTGAACCAGTTATACACAACAAAATACCTCCCAAGGACATCCAGCCTCGTTTTTCGGTCTTTTTCAAGAACTTATACATGTAATAAGGGGAAAGTGCCGTATAAACGTGAGGATTCCAGTGGAAGATATTGTATAAGCCAATAGCACTTATGCAGAAAAGCCAGGTTATCACAATGGGTGCAAAAAGAGCTCCAAGCCTGTGGGTCCCATAGTGTTGAAGATAGAACAAGAACAGTAGGATTATGCAAGCTACTGGGACTTCTATATCTACATGACATGTAAGGTAAATTAGTAAGAATCATTTCACAAAACTAATGGTGTACTAAATTTAGGACGATAGTGATTCATTAAGATTTTCTGTTACACTAATTCTTTCAAGTATATACATACATTAAGCATAAGAAATTGTATTTTCTTATTTAATCTTAACAACAAAACATGAATCCTTATGACATAACTTCTTTTTTTTTTTCAGCTCTTGTTTTTCGTTATAGTAATACTTCTAGCTCACTGTTCTTGTTAAGTCTATTCAAGCCCTTCATGTAATGTGCTTTCCTATGATTGTCGGATTTGTATATTATTGACTCATTCGATTTCACTTTCTCTTTAGAAATTATTCAACTCGACTGCTTTTCTTCACTTTTTTCTTAAATCATTCACTTTATAACGGTACAACATTATCCACAGAAATCATAGTTAGTGAATAGTGACACTCGTAATTATTTTTACTCAAGTTGCGTAATGATACCCCTTATATCACCATATAAAGAAGATGGTGACCAATTTTCCCTTTATATAGATAATGGTGATTTGACTATGATTAAAGCAGAAACTTTGTCCTAGTATAAGAAAAGGCCCCATAGCCACAATAGTGCATTTTGATAGCAATTTGGATCTCTTTTGTTGTGAACAACTAGTAATGCCTTGTTTTCTAAAAAGAGGGCAAAAAAAAAAAAAAGTGGGTTTCAAATGAATGCTACCACATGCTAACCGAAAGCGAAAACCGTAACTACTTTCTTTACAGTCCAACCTCAATCATAATTTCTCCTTTTCTTTTTGTGTTGACAATTCTAGAACTCGTTCAGATACAAACATAGCAGAAATTCTTCATGTTTTGAACCAAACTTAAGAGTTACAAAGAAAACAGCATAGACAAAGTAAAACTTTACAATAAACAGTCTTTAAGATTTTTCCTCAAGCATGTACAAATTGGGACTTCCATTAGTTAAACTTGGAAATTCCTACACCACGATTTCTAACAAATCATTGAAACAGAACATTTTGCTGAACAAAAGACAAACCAATAACAACACATCAAGAAATAAACAAAAAAATGAAAATCAAAATATCCAAGGAAGATAACCGAGACTCACATTGGTGATGACGCTTTGAAACCACGAGCTCCAATCCAGATACTGCAGAAAACACTACACACACAAAGAAGAAGAAACTATCTTAGTTATTATTCAAAGAACACTATCGAAACTAACACAAAAATGTCAAAATTTATACCAGAAATCGACGGAGTAAGAACTCCATCTCCAATAACCATACAAGTCCCAATCAAAGCCAAAGTAAGCAACATTCTTTGAAGCATCTTATGCTTTTCCAGTGTTAACCTCAACTTCTTACCCACACCTTTGTTATTGTTATTACCAGATGTGATGTCGTCTTTGTTGTACTCGTGCAAATCCTCGTCAGCGAGCTGGCCATTAGGCAAAATGCTCACCCGGGCATGGCGGCACAAAAGGGAATACAAAGCAAAAGTGCCCCCTTCACCATTATCATCAGCTCTAAGCACAATGAACACATATTTAAGCAGAGGGATCAGAGTTAATGTCCAGAAAACAAAAGAAAGAACTCCAAATATTTCCTCATTAGTCTCCGAATGTTGAATGTCCTCTGCAAAAGTGCTCTTATAGACATAAAGAGGCGAAATGCTTAAATCCCCATACACAACACCCAAACTCTGGTAAGCCAATGCCAGTACCGTCTTCCATGATTCTTTCTGGAAAATTAAAAAAAAAAAAATAACAAAACAACTATCAGGAACAAAAATCAACTCAAAGCCCACAAAATTTCCTTTTTTTTTCCCCCATTTTTTCAGTTTTTGGGTATAAAGGTCTCACCTTTACACGATTTGCAGGGCACCAGCCTTCGATATCCATCACCGGCCGCCTCAAAATCATGGGAAAATCATTCTTTAGCTTAAGCTAATATCTGGGCTCGGCTACAAGATAACCCTTTTGAGCAAACAACATAAAATCAAATTTTACGCAAAAAAAAAGAAAAAAAAAAAGGCAAAATCAAGAACCTTTAAAGAACAATGAGAAGAGCCGACACGAAAATTATCAATGGTGTTGGCAGGATGAACCACTGAAGAAAGACTGGTGGGAAATTGGGCTCTTTACTCTTTAGAATATATTGTATGCAACAAATGCAGCACATACGTGGACGATATGGCTTGCCTAAAATATAGTTTTCACTGTCACAAAATATTCCATTTCATCACCAATTTACCATACATCATACATCAGAGGGCTATCTACATTAAAAAAAAATAAAAATTAATGAGTAATTAAATTGGCACACCCTAGAAAGGTGGGGGGGACCTTTTTGTAGGATTTTAATTTTTAATGGAGGTTTTTGGTTTCTCTTAAATATGCTTCACTCTCTTTCTGTTTGTATTTTTATTTAAAAAGTTGTGTGGAGTAGAACATACTTGGTGGGTGAGATTGGATATTTTTCTCTCTCATTTCTATTTTTTATTTCATAATATGTTATAAGTACATAATAAATATACATAGAGGTGTACATAACACTCAGAGTGAGTCCACTTAAATTTTTAGTTTTGGATCTCACTCAATGTGAGTGTTATGTACACCTCTATATAAAATATTATGTACTTATAGCATTACTCTTTTCTCTTTTATCTTCTTCTAAGCATTATGCTCACTTTACTGTTTTTTTT